ACAGCCATCATGATAGATCTGTTCCAGGAAGGAGCTACCATGTCAAATTCTTTAGGCAGTTAGTGGGGGAGGTCAAATGTCCCTAGAGAAAACAACCAAGGTAAAGAGATAGATTTCAGGGTGGCCAAATCTTGATCTCCCACAAATATATGCTTAGAACTTTTACTGTTAAAACAGATGTTGCATCAATATAAAATAAAACAAATATACACAGATATGTGAATTCAGTAAGCCTTGAGATTATAGAAAGTTTGAGGAAAAAAATTTATCTTCATAAATAAATTAATTAATATTAATAGCTTCTAATTTTTAACTCTGAAGGTGGTCCATTAAAATAATATTGAAAATGTGCATGTTTTTGCAATAGTATTTAAAAATGAAAAATAATGACCTTTCAAAGAACAGTCATTTATGTTTTTAAATCTATTTGAGTCTAAGTCCCTGAGAATAAATTTACTTTTTGCCTAGAGCTCATGCTAAAAGCATGTTGGATTAGGATTATAACAGAGCTTTGAATGCTATGCTAAGCCTTATAGCAATGATTTGCAACCTTTTATCTCTACGTCATTCATATGTTCAATACATGGTGTTTGACATCTATCTTTCCAGGTAGTAATTCAAGGATCGTAGATCTATTGAGAAGGTGTGGGGGGCGGGGAGGGGAAGGTGCATGCAAAGATTTTGAATTAGGGGACAGTTTGTGTTTTAGAACAGTATACTGAGGTAGCATAAATAAATTGATATATTGGAGGGAAGAGAGACTAAAGTAAGGAAGACCAATTGAGTTTTTATCTCAGCCTAAGTGAGAGATGAAAGCCTGAACTATGGTAGTGGCAATTGGAACAGAGAGTTGGAAAATAGATGTTTCTAATTTAGGAACTTGGTGATAGCATTAAAAGAACAGAATGTAGGGGGCCTGATTTTCTGAAATCATAACTTTGTCAAGGTGCAACACTACATACTCTTAAGTTTTAGTAAAGGGTGAGATTCTATTGACCTTTTAGCAATCAGATTCTCCTTGCTCCTATCACACTCGAATATTGGTGAACCAGAATATTGTGTTTATTAAACGTTAGTTGTGACATTTAATATTAAAATAACAAAATCCTTTTCTGTACAGAAGTTATTTTTGGTTGTGTTTAGTATTAAGAAATCTGAAAAACTTTAAGTGAGCAGGTAGTAAAAGACAATGAGTTCTTAGATCTTTACCTCAGAATATATCATTTTAATGGTTTTCCTTTTTTAGAAATCTTCTAAGAGACCTGACATGTCTGTGGGAAATTTGAAATAAATTATTATTCATACATTTTGATGTAATAAACTAATATGTGTCCTTTAAAGTAAAAGATAGTTGCATAAGTAAAAGCCACACCTTTGATTTACCTACCTTCTTTGCTAATGAAGCTGAAACTGCTCTGTGATACCTATTGTCCCAGATCTTTGCATTAAATTAATTGCCTAGCAACAAACCGGTAAGCCAGTGACTTTTGCTAGTTTGTATTATGATACAGTATCTCCAGTTGCTTCAGGTAATAGATTTCATGAAATTCTGAAAACAATATCATCAATTTAATTGAAAAAAATAAATGCCATAGAGGAGTGTATTTATCTGTTGCTGTATAATAAGTTACTCCCAAACTTAGCAGTTTATAACAACAAACATTTATTATCTCAAAATGTCTGAGGATTAGGAATTTGGGAGCAGCTTAGCTGGATGGTTCTGGCTGAGGATCTCTCCAAGGGGCTGAGTCATCCAAAGGCTTAACTGGAGCTGGAAGATCTGATCCCAAGAAGGCTCACTCACATGGCTGTGGGTAAAAGTCTTCAGTCCCTTGCTGACTCTTGGCAGAAAGCCATAGCTCCTTGTGTGTACGTCTTCATGGGGCTGCCTGAGTGTCTTGATGATATGGCAGGTGGCTTTCTCCAGTGTAAGTGATCCAAAGAAGAGGTCAGTGAGGAAGCCACAGTGCTCTATGACCCAGTCTTGGAAATCACACACTATCACTTCTGCTGTATTCTATTGGCTATGTGGGAGATCAAGATTTGGCCACCCTGAAATATATCTCTTTACCTTGATTGTTTTCTCTGAGGGACATTTGACCTCCCCCACTAACTGGCTAAAGAATTTGACATGGTGGCTCCTTCCTGGAACAGATCTTCTATCATGATGGCTGTAAAGATAATGTAAAATAGATGCTACAATGGGAGGGGCACCAAGCCCCTTTTATCAAAAACTCTGTCTCTCCCTGACCACATTATCTATAGATGACCCCGAAAAGAATTGTCCTCCTGCCCTCTGAAGTCCCAGGCCACTACCCACCCCCAACACGCTCCTCGCCTTTAGCTGCAATACTTAAGCAAGCAGCTTAGACAGAGGGACGAGTTGCTCATTTCTGAGCTTCTCCCATGTATACATGTTATTAAACTTGGTATTATTTTCTACTGCTAACCTGTCTTGTTGATTATTTGGCCAGCCATAAGAACCTTAAGGAAAAGGGCAGAGGAAGATTCTCCCTCTTCCCCCTACAGCTAGAAGCAAGTCATAATGACCAGCCCTCACTCAAGGAGAGGAGAATTAAGTGCCACTTATTGATGGAAGGAGTTTTAAAGAATTTGTGAACGTAATTTTAAAACCACAAGTGATATATTTGGAAATTAGACAATAAGGTGTGGCATCTCCAATTTGAAAGTAAATGCTGACTAATCTAGTCTGCTTTTAAGTAGAATTGCCTCTAAATCAAAGTCATTTCTATAAAATGCAAGCTACATTAAGTTAAATTTGTAGATTATGGTTCAGTGATACTTTTTTCTAATTGGACTATTGGAGTAGACTTATAATGAAAGAACAAAACCTAAGCCTTTGGAGTTTGCTTCTCATTCAGCAGAGGAAAACAGTATTACTCATAAATGACCTAGTTTTCATTTATTTCTGAAATAGTTGAATTCCTGGTGTAAATGATCCACAAGTAGGAGAAAAGAGAAAGAATGAGTTAGAGTTATTTATAGTGGAGAGGGACCTTTCAGCATTCACAAACCATTAAGTATGCAACTATTCTTCTGAACTTTGTAAGGGTAGGTACTATGTAAACCAGAGCTGGCCATGATGATGATAGTAGCTCACCTTTATTGAGCACTTTCTATGTACCATGTTTTATTTCAAGTGGGTTATATTAGTTAATTCCAATACTTTGTGAGGTAGATACTGTTACTACACCCCATTATATAGATGTAGATGTGAGGCACAAAGGGGTTAAGTAGCTTGCCCAAAGTCACACATCTAGTAAAAGGCGGGCCCAGCATTCACATGGCTCTCTAACCATGTGCAATTCTGCTTAGCATGTGCTAAGCATTCAGTAACTGTTAAAAGGAGTGTCTCAGCATATATAGCCACTGAATAAAGAGAGCTCAACATCTTTTTCTTATATGTATGTGTTCAATGTAGGGTTTGTTCCTTTGTTCTTTATTTTACCGTATTAATTTTCTAAAGTTGCCTTTCTTATAACCAATGTTTAGAGTAAGAGAAAGCATGCCAGGACAGTGTGGTAGTTAAAAATGTAGGCTCAGGAATCAGAGGGCCCCTCTTCCCAATCAAGTGCCATTGCTCATTAGTGTTGTAACCTTGCAAAATTTTCTGACCTCCGTTAAAATAAGGTTTTCTCATTTAATAGATGACATAATAAGAATACTTACTTTAAAAGAATAATTATAAGCATTAAATGAAATAACACATATATTGTACTTGGCATATAATAAGCATGAATAATTGACAGCAGTATTACTAATCCTCTATTTTTTTCTACTTTGAATAAGAATAGTGACTTCCTTAGGTCATAAAACTGCATGGTTTTTGCCAAGTGAGGTTTAAGATTTATTTCTATTACTCCTATGGAGATTTTTTTAAACCATGTTATAGCATCTCCTGTTTTTCTTTCTGGGCTTTCATTTTGGCTATAGAGTCTTTGTGACCCCCTGTCTCAGGGAAGCAGGAGCCCAAGCGCCTGGGCTGTGGGAGCAGTCTAATTTGAATCATTGACTGACTGAATTGTCATTGTAAAGGGGCTAAGCCGAGAGGAAGAAACCCAGTTTGAGGCAACGGGTCAGAAAATCAGGAAACCAGATTAGGTTGGTAGATTTGAAAGAGAGACAGAAATGGAACCCTTAAGAAATTCCCTGAGCCAGAAAGATGTCTACAGTCACTGAATAGAGCACTACAGCTTTTAATAGATGCTGCTAACATATTTAGTTATCTTTTTGATGTGGTTCTTTGCATTCTTTGCAAACTGTGTTTTTTAAGGCTGTACAGAAATAACATTTGGGATATGTTTTTTGATAAGCGTGACATTGCTAAGATAACATAAAAAGCTGAAAAATGTGAACTTAATAATATTTATCATTATGATACTTGTTTAACAGAAACGTGTGTTTTCTTTTCAACGCTGCCTACTTGATGGCACTTTTTCTCATTTTAATTTTAGGTTTAAAAGCATCCACTGGAATCAATTTGCATTCGAAAATTGTACCAACACAAAGACTTCGTATTGTGGAATGACTAGCAAACAAGCAATGTCATCTAACGAACAAGAAAGGCTCTTGTGTTATAATGGGGAAGTCCTTGTTTTTCGATTGTCTAAAGGAAATTTTGCAGATAAAGGACCTGCAAAAATACCCATATTACATGTCAGAAGAATGGTATTTGACAGAGGTACAAGAGCATTTGTTCAGAAATCCACTGGATTCTTTAGCATAAAAGAAGAAAACTCTGATTTAAAAATTGTGTGTTGCGACTGTGTGTCAGATTTCAGAAATGGAATTAACCTCCCTCATATTGTGATACAATGCAATAAAAAGAATAACGTTTTCAAATATCTTCTACTATTTCTTCACAGTACCAATACATTTGAAAAGCGTTTGAGTTTTCAACTAGGCCACGAGTTGCTGGATGGTGTAAGGGTCCTTAATGGCCCTTTAATTTTATGGAGATATGACAAAACATTCTTCTATATCTCTTCCAAAACTCACCAAGTTGTTACTGTGTCTGTTAACTTTTCCTCTATTGAGTGGGCAGGGGAAATTGAAAATCTAGGTATGGTTTTATTAGGACCAAGATGTTCTTCAAACCAAAAGCCTTCAAAATCAGATTATGCATTTCGGAATACCAAGTTTTGTGTATACTCCCTTGAAAATGAAGAAGTAATAAGTGATACATACATTATCCCTCCTGCTTATAGCAGTGTGTTAACTTGTGTGCGTGTATATGCAACTGAGATGGTCAACAACCAGTTAAGAATGTCTCTGATTGCCCTTACTCAAAAGAATCAGCTGATTTCATTCCGAAATGGGACTCCTGAAAGTGTGTGCCAGCTTCCATTTGGAGATCCTTGTGCAGTTCAACTGATGGATTCAGGTGGAGGAGGCTTCCTTTTCGTTGTATCCTTTAGGTCCAATGATGCATGTGCTGTTTGGAAAAAGAACTTTCAGGTACAGTACTTATATCATTCAGTTGGTGTGATCTTAGACCTATTAAGCTTTCTTACAGTTCTTCGAGTTTATCCTGTAGTCTTATTATCCAAATCAATTGTTAGTGCTGCATTTAAAAGAAAATCATATATTACATCATTCTTTTTTCTTCAAGTTATCTAAATACTACCTGATAAAGGTTTTTCCTTGCCATTTTGAGTCATAAAACCTTTGAGTGGTTTGGAAATATATTTTGTTTAATATAATTGTCTTTTAGTATAACTATTTCTAATTTTTATTAATGTGATAATAATTGGATGTGTATTTTTACTTAGAGTAAGATTATTAGTAATTTGACTTGTTAAGCCTTCCTAGAAAACTCAAATCAGTTGTTTAACTTTTTAACAATTGGCAATTATCTATTTAAACTTGAAATCTAAAGGAATTGCTTGAAATGTATCATTATCCCTTTAGAGACAAATAATTGTTCTCCAGAACAGTGATGTGTTAATTTTTCTAAAAACTGTTGCTCAGAGAATTTTATGTCATATTTTGAAACTCAGACTTGTCCTTTAAGCAAGCATTCACATTTTATCTACATGGAGTCGTGTCTTTTAATGTAAGGTTTGGAAATTGCTTTAAAATACTCACTGGTATTAAGTGTTCAATAACAGGTAAAAAGGCACAGAAAATGAATAGGCAGTTGGAGGTTTGTAACTGGCTGTCTCCACCAATAGTATTTCTCTGATTCTGATTTTTTGGAAACATTGCATCCTCCTGCCTTAAGATATATATCAGCTCATTCAATTATGTGATATGAAGTGTTTTTAATTCAAGATAAATAATCAGGGCCGGCCCCGTGGCTTAGTGGTTAAGTGCGCACGCTCCACTACTGGCGGCCCGAGTTCGGATTCCGGGCGCGCACCGATGCACCGCTTCTCCGGCCATGCTGAGGCCGCGTCCCACGTACAGCAAGTAGAAGGATGTGCAACTATGACATACAACTATCTACTGGGGCTTTGGGGAAGAAAAAAATAAAAGGAGGAGGATTGGCAATAGATGTTAGCTCAGAGCCGGTCTTTCTCAGCAAAAAGAGGAGGATTAGCACGGATGTTAGCTCAGGGCTGATCTCCCTCACCAAAAAAAAAAAAAAAAAAAGCTGACTTAAAAAAAAAAAAGATAAATAATCATTTCTAGTCAGAAATGTCTCTTCCAAAAGTAGTTTTTTTAGTATGTTATGCAACTTTTTCAGTTCTTGTGCTACTTTGGAAAAAAGCAGATACTGCTTTACTTTGTGCACCCTGTTCGTTTAATTAGAAGCTCAACTAAAATTTCTATCATTGTATTACCACCTTGATATTGATAAATATTTTGGGAAGTTCAAAAGGCATTTTTTTTATGTGAATCATTACTTCGTGTGTATTTGTGTTGATGTGTATGGAAATGTCAGGTTGAAATTGTGTTTTATCAGGCTTTGCCTTGTGAATTACCTTTGTGTTATTAGGGATTATGTAGTCATATTCAACCTCTGTAACACATAGAGGACTTAAATTCTCAAAAGGAAAATAATTTGCAAGCTATCCTATTTTTTTTCCAAAGCAATCTTTTAAAAGCACGTTGTACTTTTACTTTTATTTGAAGGTTACTTTTATTTGAAGGTTATTTGGAAGGTGACATTTTCTGTCTTTTTCTACTCTCTTTTACTTTCAAGAAATGGTAGGGGGAAACACCTAGTATAGCCTGTAATCCTTATTGGGGTCAGGGTAATGGAAAGAATACACTTAACCTGGGTTTGAACCCCCTGAGCCCCTTTCTAGTGTTACCTTAAGGAATATACTTAATTTTTGTGAACCTGTTTTCCATCTTTATGAAATTGGGATTATCCGGCCTCTGAGAGGGGAGAATTAAATAAAATGACATTGTAAAGTGTCTTGCACAGTGCTTGGCACATAGGAGAAGCTCAGTAAGTGGTAGGTCTTATTATGTTAGACAAGGGCTAGGGCTGTCATCAGTGACTTGTAGCTACCCAGGGTCCCTTATTCACCTGGGTAAGGAAAAACAATTCCCTCACGCTTCGTTAATTCAGTGAAATATTGTCCTTATTCACATGAAGTGGGTCCCCTGCTTGGAAACTATAGAGCTCTGCTGCTAACATGTTATCCAAAGCAGACTAGGGTACTCACTCCCTGTAAGTGGGCCTGTAACTGTTGGCCTCCCTGCCTTGAGATTGCGTTCTAGGGTTATTTGTCTACAGTGGACCACCATCCTTTCCACAAGTTACTTCCCTGAGTCCCCACTGACGTGCTCCTCAGGCTACCTCTTCAGGGATGCTGTACTTCTAAGCTGTTCTCAAATGCCCTGTGTTGAAAGCTCTGGAGTTAGACCCTGATATCTAAATGCTTCTAAATTGTCTCAGTAACCTTGCCACTCTGGGAGTTTTGCAGCTCCTGACTCTTTCTTGGTGTTACATTTATACTCACTTACTTTAAAAAAAATTGGATATAGCTTAGGGTAAAATATTCAGTTACTTTAAAAACAAGAATAAAGGTTAAGAATCTACAAATAAAGGGGAAGAGGAGGTAAGCATGCAGAAAACATGGGTTAACGGAAGTAATTGCATTTGAGCAATTATGCTTAGTTTAGCAGTTAAGACCAAAAAAGTAAATGCAGCAGGTTTTACAAGTGAATGGAACATACTATAAAGGGAAAAAAATTTTGAATATTGAGTTCTGAGAGGAATTTCCTGTTTGTGGTATTATGTAACAGGTTTTGAATAATAAAATGAATACATTATTGAATAATAAAATGGTGTCTTTAGTAGCAGTTTTCCCCCAAAATGGAAGAAAACAAAAGAAGCGGTCTTCTTTTGGGTTGGCTATGGATTCATCCATGCATCCATCCATCCTTTTACTACCTCATTCCATAAAGGAATTAAGACAGCTTACAAAGATAGGTAAAATACAAACAAGCATAAATTAGGATAAAAAATGAAAATCAAGGTTAGTATATTCTCAGATCAGCCCTTCGTAAAATCCCCGGGTGTAATGTTTAATCCAGAGAACTAGGTCTAGAGAAATACATGATTAGCTCTTCTCTTCTTAGGCTTTCTCTCTTGAGTAGAAATTGTCTCTGCCAGTTTTGAGAAGAATCTACATAGCAGGCATTTCAAAATTGAGATCATTGTCAAGTACACCTGAAACATATTGGTGTGTTGTCGATATAAAGAGGTTAATATGCTCTAGAGGTGTGCTGTCTAGTATGGTAGTCAGTAGCCACATGTGGTTATTCAACATTTGAAATGTGGCTAGTCTGAGTTAGAATGTGCTATAAATGTCAAATACACACCCGATTTCAAAGACTTAGTAAAAAATGGAAGTAAAATGTCTCGTTAATAATTTTTATTGATTGTATCGAAGTGAAATAATATTTTGGGTATATTGGATTAAATAAAAATATAATAAAATTAGTTTCACCTTTTTCTTTTCACTGCTAGAGAATTTTCTTTTATTGGCTACTGGAAAGTTTAAAATTATATATGTGCCTTGCATTTGTGGCTTACCTATATTTCTTTTGGACAGCACTATTCTAGAGCTATAGATTGCAAATGTGTGTGTGCATGCATGATGCACAGCTCTGTGGTGTTTGCATGCCGAGCACATTCTTATTACTAATGTCTCTTCACATAGTTCATTATGCTCCATGATACTCATGGCGGGGGTGGGAGGAAGGGAGGATATGGGTTTAGAAATAAGCTTCCTTCCTACTTACGTGAAAAAAATCACTGCTTTGGATATTAGCCTTTTAGGGGAAAGATTGATATTTGGTTATAGAGATTGAAGAGTCTTATATTCTTGCTCTAATGCAAGCCTTGATATTTGGTTATAGAGATTGAAGAGTCTTATATTCTTGCTCTAATGCAAGCCACCCTCAATCATCTAGATGATGTATCTGTGCTCCTGGGATTCTGAGTGGGAGTTTAAGCTTTTCTGCCTGAGGGAGAAGGGGTATCGGATCTCCATGGTGTTAGTTTTCCAGGGGACCAATCTGGAGGTTTTCAGCTTTATGGACCTTTATGAAGTTGTCTTCTATTTTAAACTTGGAGTTTCACATTCAGGTATAAACTGATCAAATCATTGCATTAGGCTAGGATGGTTCTAGGTGCCCCATTATTAGGATCCCTCCCCTTCTGTGCCCCTGATAATGGCTATGTTCTCCCCCACCAGGATTTAGGGCATTAAGTTCATCTTGACTCTTAAAGGTTATTCTGCTTTGAGAGCCTTTAAAGTGTCTACTAGTATCTTCTAGTTAACCTACTGCAACTGAATTCCTTGTGTAATTAGTCTTATCATGGATATATATCCACCAAGGCTTTTGGTAGTGAGGGTCGTCCTTAAATTAACCGTGTTAGAGAAAGAATCTTCACTAAAGTTATTCATGAGAAATATTAGAATTTCCAAAATATTTAGTCATGAGAAGTGTTAGAATTTATAAATTATAATAAAATTTAATATAGAAATCAGGAACGTGACAGTCCCATGATAAACGTTGATGAAATATTAAATTTAAGTACTTTGCTATTTATAAAGTTGTTATAACTACTTATGTTTTCTAATCCCCCAATATCTTTATTTTATTTTAGTTTTTAGTGTTTACACTACCATTTTCATTACTTTGTTTGTAAGATTGAAGATGACAAATTACAACTACATGCAACAAAAGGGTTTAGTTTATTTCACATCTGATTTTTTTTCTTCTCTATTCCTCCTTTACCACCCTCTTTCTCTCAGGTTGCTGCTAAGTGGGAAAAAGTTAGCTTAGTACTGATAGATGACTTTATTGGAATTGGAACTGAACAAGTACTGCTACTTTTTAAGGACTCCTTGAATTCAGATTGTCTGAGTTCATTTAAAATAACAGATCTGGACAACATAGACTATTCAGTAAGTTCTGTTTACTTTTTATACATTACTTTAAGAACCATTTTAGAAAATTTGAGTGCTTTAAAGCTTTCGACCCACCATTTAAATATTTGTGATTTCATACTTAAAAACTCTTTAAACTTTAAAAATACATACATTGAGGGGCCGGCCCGGTGGCGCAAGCAGTTAAATGTGCGCGCTCCACTGCGGCGGCCCTGGGTTCGTGGGTTCGGATCCGGGCGTGCACCGATGTGCCACTTGTTAAGCCATGCTGTGGCAGCGTCCCATTGTGAAGTGGAGGAAGATGGGCACGGATGTTAGCCCAGGGCCAGTCTTCCTCAGCAAAAAAGAGGAGGACTGGCATCGGATGTTAGCTCAGGGCTGACCTTCCTCACCAAAAAAAAAAAAAAAGAAAGAAATACTCAGATTGAATCTTTTAAATATATACAATGACTCTCCTTTCAACAAATGTTATACCAATTGGCTATACTTCTGATATAAATTTGGAATATATTGTGGTCACTCAAGTGACAATAATACTGCAAGTTAACCTTTTGCTTCTGAAAACCACATTTTATACCAATAAACATGATAGTTTTGGATTAATTAAGGAATAAAATGAAGTGAAACTGCTATATTAAAAGAAGTAACAGTTCATAATATCTTAAGGTCTTGGACATAAGGAAAATAATACTCCTGAAGTTTCAGATCTATATAAAATAGCTCTGAGCCTTGGTTTTTTTCATTAGTAAAATGAGGATAATTCTTATTTTCTTTATTTACTGGGATTTTATAAAAATCTAGTAAGCTGATACTTTTCAAAGCAGTATAAAAAATGTTAAGTGGGTGGTAATAGTGGTAATAATAGTAATTTTTTTCTAGTTACAAGAAGATGTTGGGGAAAATATATATTTTGTCTTTTATGTAATAGTGTGTAACATGGAAAACTGCCCTTTGGGTAAACTTTAATTGTATTTTGTTAATCTTATGGATTTTCAGTTTTTTTTCAAAATTTCAGTTTTAGTGTATTTTTTTTATTTATTAGACTGAAACACTAGATTGCAATGAAGATGACTTGTTCGAAGAAATACAAGAGAATCGTTATTTGGTGATCCCACCTCTGGAAAGAAGATTGAAAGTTAGTGTCAATGTTTGCTTTTTTTGCTTTTGCTTTTTTGGATTAGTGCTATTCTAAATGAAGGAAAGAACGTTGAAAGAAATATCCTTAAAGTATAAGCAACTCAATGATTGGGAAAAAATAGTATTTCAAAGGATCTTTAAACTATTATGACATTGCTTATAAATGTACCGTCCAAAAATGATACCTTTTTATAGTATGTGTAAATTTAATAAGCCTCATAAGATAAAATATAAGTAGCTCACTTTTGAAAACATTCTTTTTGGTCTTTAGGATCAGTATACCATAGTGTCTCTTTTAAAGGAGCAGCAAATATGATGAATCATATCTGTTCCAAACATGAACAGGTTTACCCTTTAGTTTTCCATACAAAGCTCTCTAAAAACGAGTTTTTGTTTTTTTCCAAATGTACAAAGATAATGCACATTACCTGTAAAATACTCAGACTATGCAAAGAAATTATAAAAAGGAACTAACAATTACCTATGATTCTGCTGCTGAGATATAATCAGTTTTAACACTTTGGCATGTGTATTCTTGTAGATTTTTTAATGAATACATGCAAATTTACATGGAAGTGTATTATAAGATGCATGGTCTTTTGCAACCTGCCTTTTTTCATTCATAATATTTTCAAATATACAGAAAAGTTCAAAGAATAGTACAGTGATTATCTCTGTAGCCCCCATGTGAATTCAACTATTGTTACTTTTTAAAAAATTATATTTGCCTCATCTGTTTATGCTTGTGTGTGTAGAGTACAAGTATGTGTGCATTTTTGCAGAACCACTTGAAAGTTTCAGATATTATAATACTTCACTCCTATGTGTTTTAGCAAGAGTCCCCTAAAAATAAGGACATTCTCCTATGTAACCACAATACCATTTTGCACTTAGAAAATTAATAATGACCCCTTAATCTTATTTCCATATTCAGATGCCTTCAATTGCCATGAAAATATTTATAGCTGTTTTTTTCAGGATCCAATTGAAGTTTACACTTGCACTTGATTATTATATGTCTCATTTTATCTAGAATAATGCCCCATCCCCCCCTTTTTTTTAAATGACACTAATGAAGAGGTCAGGCCAGTTGTCTCTCCTTTTGGATTTGTCTGTTTCCTTGTGTTGTCATTTAACTTTTTCCTCTATCTTTGGCAAATTTTTTTTTAATAAAGGGCCAGATAGTAAATATTTGTACGTAAAGTGGCCCAGCCTCCTCAGGGGGAAACTTGTTATAGCTATTAAAATGTGAATCACGTATATCTTTTTACTCTCACAGTTTTACTTCTAGAAATCTGTTCTAAGGATATACTTGTACATGTAAGCAAAGATGATTTTATAGGAATGTTTATGTGGTATTTATAAACAACAAAATTCAGTCAAAATCTAAATATCCATCATTTGGAGTATGGTAAATAAATTATGATATACCTGTACCATGCAATACTATGCAGCTGTCAAAATGAATAAGGTAGATCTTTATACTGACTTAGAAATGATGCCTAAATAATTAAATTTATGAAAACATGACTTTCAGAAATTCCACTTCTGGTAATAAGTCACCTAATTTATTTGGACCAACTTTCCTGATAAAAACAACTTAAAATGATAGCTGAAATATGTTTTTAAAAGCTTCGAAAAGCTGAAAATATAAGAATAAATGATCAGGCCAAACTCTGAAAGCTGGAACCCAGAATGATAAACAGAACACTGATGCTACTTTTGCTCTGGGACCATTTGTATTTCACCTAAAGCAGTAGTGCCCTAGGCACCTGGCAGAAACAAACATAGAATCTTCTCTCGAAAAACAGATTTATTCTAGGCCTCTTATAAATCTCACAAGTAATTTTTCAGAGAAAATGAGCCACCTACAGAATAACTAAGCACATTCACAGAAAATAACCAAATAGCATTTCTATAAACTAAAAATACATTGAAATAAAAAAACATCTCAACAGATGAGTTTAACAGTTGACTTAAAGAGATGCAGAGCAAATAAGTGAACCAGGCTATGTTAGAAAAATTATCCAGAAGGTAGCACAGAGACAAAGAAGGAAAATGTGAAAGAACCGTAGAGGGAAGTCAGGGATATATGGAGGTGGGGAAGAGATAGTTGCGTGTCCATTTTGTTTCAGGTATCCCCATCTTATCACTAGCTCTCAATGTGGATAGAAACATTTCCAAGTATTAGAAGGCCTTTTAGAGATTAACAAGTCTACCCTCTCCCCCATTTTTCATAAGAGTAAGCAAATGAGAGCCAGAAAGTTTTACTTGCAGAGCTAGAACTAGATTCTGTTTCACGGTTCTTTCTCCTATGAAATTTGTTTTCCAGCCAGTTGTCGGAGGGGAAATGGGGAGACCAGGACCTCGGAGAAACTTGTGCACATGTACAGGAATGTTCACAGCAGCATTCTTTGTAATACTCCACAAAGGGACGTACCGCAGAGGTCTATCAGCAGGAGAATGGAAAAGTAAATTGGTATAGTCATATGATAAAATACTATAGAGCAATGAAAGGTGCAAACTACAGCTACTAGTGACAAATGGAAAACTCTAAAACCTAATACATACAGAATGATTCCATTTATAAAAGGTACAGAAGCAAAACACACAAAAAACAAAGTATTCTTTAGGAATTCATACAATGGTGGTAAAATTATGAAGACAGACAAGGAAGTTACCTTAAAAGGCCAGGGTAGTGTTGCCTCCAGTGGAGAAAGAGAGGGTCATGATTGGGGAGGGCCCACGGGCCGCTCCTGGAGTGCTACTTTTTGATTTGGGTGTTGTTACTTGGGTATTGACTTCATTAATAGTCTGTAAACTATTTTTTGTATTATGCACTCTTCTGCGTGTATGAGAGAGAAAAAGAACAAAAAAGCAAGGTCTGGCGTCATGCAGTGCAGAATGCTCCTGTATTCGGTTTTGGGTGGGTTTTGTTAGTTTGTGGGGAGGAGAAAGAAAGCATTCCTTAACATATACATGGAAAAGTTCTGGAAAGGTAAACAGTCTGTTGGTTGTGCAAATGGGATTGAGGGTCTAGGAAGGGAAGGTGAGATATATTTTTATGTTGTTTGAATTTTTTGCCATGTGCTTATTTTCATAGTTTTATGACGAAACTTCACAACATAGAATATTTAAGTAGTCTAGTGATTCACCATTTAGTCCTGGAGTGGGGGGTATGTTGAGGAGAGTAGGGAAGAGAGAACAGGGATAATTTCTGAGGGTGCCCTCATTTACAATCTGCCCACATGGTCCTCTCTTCCACTCTGTACCCTTTGCACAGTCTCAGGTTTGACTATCTATCTCTGATGGGTACCTTTCCCTTCCCCTAAGTCACAAATTACTCAGCAAATGAGTGATGGAGTGTGAATGATTTGGAGCCCACAGAACTAAGTCAACATAAGGAGTTTTAAAATATTAGCTGGATACTTTACATACTTTGTGCAATGAGGTAAGATATAATTCAATCTTCACTCTCCAACTTTTATTCATTGGTAAAAAGAAAAAAAATTTACCTGCCTTAAAAGGTAATTTAAAAGAAAGGAATTCAAAAATAGGATGCATATTGTTTTTTCAATCTAGAAAAACATGTTATATTAAAAGCTGGATTAATATTTAACCAGTCTCAGATATCCATCTGAAATGAAACAGCTTCTATCATAGGTTCAATGATGCGACTCTTTTAAAATTTTAAGTAGCAAAATATATTTCATGAATGTTTCATCCTTAGTGCTGAAATCTTATTTATCCTGTGTAATAGAAGGAATGGATTGCTCTATCCCCAGTTCAGAGCCACATTTTTTTCCCCAGTAGTTAAGAGTTGACTCTAGCACTGAATTTATTAGCACAAAAATAAACTTGTGGCAGGTTGGAGGCTGTTACCGTGCTATCTTTAAAATTTTGCTATAAAGGTTATATGAACAGAGAATTTCAAACAGTATCAAATTAAAAGTGACCATTTCTATTCATAATGATATCTTTTGCTTTTTGAAGCAGAGATTATTTCAACAAGAAAAACAGTTTTCTTGTGGGGGCAGAAGTGTTGGTAGGCCTTGATTTTTATTCATACTGATTGGACTTACTCATATTGATTGATTACTTAACTCAGTGATGAAACAGATACTAATACATTGGCATGCTCTCAGTTTGTATCTTGCAGTTACTTGCTGTGTTATATTCCTTTGTAATTAGAGTCTTAAAATGTATAAATTAGTTTTGCTCTGAGAAGTATTCTCTGCTTTTCTATAGAAAAATGAATTAATAAGCAAATTTGGAGGATTAATAAGCAAATTAATTAAGGAGTACTTCCTGAATTAATAGTATGTCAGGTTTCATTTGAAATTATGTCTCTGGCAATGATTTTTCTTTCTACTTTACAGGTTGATTTCATTTCTATTCAGGAATTACAGCGGCATCTCTTGCTTAAGGAAAAAATGATTTCAAAATCTTACAAAGCTTTAATAAACCTGGTTCAAGGGAAAGATGGTAGTACATCAAGTGCAGAGGAGGTAAAATTAATCCTGTGACCATTTTATCATTTTATGAATTGAAAATCTACAAGCTATTGAAGAGTTATTTAGATTGGCATATTGGAATGTATTAGAAAATGCTGCTCAATGGATCAAGAAGCAAAGTGGCAGAAATTATAATGGTGGGCTTTTATGACATTGAAAAATACTTGATTAAGAAGCCAGTATTTTACCAATTTGCGAATTATTCTGTAGGATATTAAAGTCTCAGTTATCAGGAACTTTGGGGGATAAGACCTTTTGTTTAAAAAATATTTAACTATTAAACTTTTTTATTTGTATAGTTTGAATAGAAATTACTCCTAAGTGAATTATATATTCTCTGATTTCTTAAACAGACTATACTGAGCATTATTTAACTGTGTATTGGTGATGACATTATTTCATCATTAGTATAATCGTTCTTTTAGTCTGTTGCATGGTTCATTTCTAAGGATATTTGTTTTTCTAGTTAATGGCCCTAAATTGCTATGCTGTTTTAGTCTTATCTCTGCTTTTTATAATTTTACTCTCATTTTCCTTGTGGTTGACCATCATAAGAACTGCTTCAGGTACCTTGCAGTTACTTATGCCAGTACGGTAATGTAGAAAGTTAGAGAAAACTGCTTTTAACTTCATAAAAAATAGTATTTATGCACATTAGTTTCACCCGGAGAAAGCATAGCAAAATTACAAATCAATCAAGAAAAGCTGGACATAGAGAAACTTGATGTTGCATTTTACTCCCTCAAGTCACTTTAGTACCTAGCTCTGACTTCCTTTAAGATGGACCATTTTTGTAATGGTCTATGCCTTGTGTCTGTATTTCAGTCTTAGCAATATGAGGATTTTGGTCCAAAATATGATTCCATTAATGTAAAGAACATAACAAAAGCACATCATGTTGCATTTCTGTATTACTCTTCTAATCTCCTGGGAAACCTCATGAAAGTCATTGTTGGAAGTCTCCCCGGTTCCCTTTCCCACGTCACCCCAACGATTTTGCAAGTATCAGAAAAGGGGAAGAAATGTTCAGAAATTAATGCATTGAGACCACTGTGTGCAAGACACCGTTTTTGACACTTGATATGGTTAATTTTAAAAGCAATTCTGGCAAGTAGTAAAAATTTCCACAGGTTTCAGATGAATAGCCTGCCTCAAATCTCACAGCTACTGGCAGAAACATCAGATTCCTAGGAACTTGTTTAGTCCACTATAATGTAAGTGCCCATATGTTTTTTCAGTAATTACCACAAAGAGGGGCAGTATAGAGTAACGGTTAAGATAGAGCAAGGGCTCTGGAACCAGTCTGCTTTGGTTCACATCCCAGCTCTGCCACTTGCTAGCTGTGTGATCTTGGGCAAGGTACTTAACCTCCCTGTGCCTCGTTTTCCTTATCTGGAAAATGTAGATAATAATACTACTGACATAGGATACTAGTGTTATTGTGAAGGGTAAACAAATTGATACATGAATGGCATTTAGAATAGTGTCTGATATATAGTATGCATTCAATAAGTGTTGTATATTATTATTATCAATACTCCCCCTCCTCTTACTACTACTACTATTTCTATTGTTATTATAAATCCATATGTGTGTGGAAATGAGTGAGTAGGGCCTAGAATTTAAGAATAAAATTTTAGCAATAATCGATCAGCAGTCCAAAGATAGTTTAATCAATTTTGTTCATACAAAAGTTTACATTTATAGGTTTAGAACAAGTCACTGATAAAATAAAGACTGGATTGTTTTCAGCATGCCTGGGGCGCATATTGTCAGATTATTTTTCAAAAGGGACTCCAGGTTTATATCCCTGCTGACTCTGTATTGGATACCCCATCTTGGTTCAATCAGGTCGTGCTTCTTGATCTGAATAGATAGTTAGTTATATGTGTTTTATAAATTTTATTTTAGTGAAATATGTATAATCTATAATGTAATATATTATAAATGATAATTTGTTTTAAAATATGTAAGCCATAAGACCTGGCCAACAGCTGATTCACCTTTTTTTAGTTTTGCTACATTTGGTAGTTTTTTTGTAATTGGTTATTTGAACATGTTTTTCTATAAGGAATGTCTTGTTACTCTTTGTGGTAAAGAAGAAAATCCTGTCCATACCTTGGATGAAAAGTTATCAGACAATTTTCAAGATTCGGAACAGCTAGTAGAGAAGATATGGTATCGTGTAATAGATGATAGCTTGGTTGTTGGAGTGAAAATCACATCTTCTTTGAAGTTGTAAGTAAATTCTAACATGATAACATTATCTTGATGCTCCAGAACAGCACTATCTAGCAGAAATATAATGCAAGCCACATATGTAATTTTAAATGTTCTATAGCCATATTAAATAAAGCAAATAGAAACAGGTGAAATTAATTTTAATAATATTATTTCCAAAACATTATCATTGCTGAGGAACAAACAATATTCTGTATTAAAAAGCAGATTTCATTCAAGTCATTTAGGGGAGTATAAAATGCAATTTTTACTTTAGAGGTGTTTGCATTCTAAATTATTACCAAAATAAACTCTTTAAAAAAATGAGTAGTTTTTTTCTTGTTTAAAAAGAAAGAGTGAAATAAACCTACCTTAAAAATAAAATCCAGGTATTATTTTGCCATTCCTTTCTGTTAAAAAAATTACTTTCTTAAAGTCCAGCATATTTACAATATTTTTGATTTCCTATTTGAAGAGAAATGCTATTACAGGATCTTTAAAAATGTGTTTGGCTTTTATGCTTAATTTTCTAATACATTTTACATTTGAAATGATGTTTCCTAGGAAAAGAGAGAATAAAATTTTGTTGTTGTTTGCATGGCATTGAATCATCTATTTATTTGATTTTAAAGAATGAACTTTTGGACTAAACCGAACTCTGGATTTTTTATAGGTCCCTGAATCAGGTGACTTTATCGCTGTTAATGGATCAAGCCCATAGCTCCAGCTTTCAGCTTATTAAGTGTCAAAATAGGGTGATCAAGTTGAGTAGGGATTCCGTCCCAGCACCAAGCTCAGTGCCGTATGAAAGAGGATCAGAGGCAAAAAGGATCAAGTTGACTGGTCATAGTGAGGAAGAGGAAGAGGAAAGCTTTGTTTGCAAGCAACCATCTGAGAAAGAGTGTGTACAGATAATTACTGCTATAACATCTCTTTCACCACTTCTAGCATTCAATAATTTTTATTGTATTGTGCTGCTACAAATCAGGAAGAGAAAAAGTGGTAACTATTTTGAAGATCATTATATTCCGTGTGGTAGACTTTTTATAAGTCTAGAAGATCTTTCAAGTGGGAAATACCTAGTGAAATTGCCAAAGAAGAAAACTATCGGTAATTTTTTGTTGGTACTTTTTAATCATATACCTAATTGAGTCAGAAAATTTTAAGAACTCTCTTTTTTTGATAATGCACAGAGTTTAATGACAGAGCTTGTGACATGTTTTCTTGTAGAACACGTGGAAGATCTCTTTGCACTTCTCACAGCATTGCGCAAAACTTGTTTTCAAATCACATCACCCAACTGTGCCCTGACTTCAATGAAGGTGTGGCTCTTAGAACGCATGAACTGTGAAGTAATCAAAGAATTTCCAGAAATTTGCTTTTGTAAAACGCCAGGAAGTTTCTGTGGGACACTCTTCAATTGGAAACAGAGAACACCTTTTGAAGGGATTTTAGTAGTCTATTCCAGGTAATGCACATCAAATTGGAATTAGTCCACAGAAGTTAGGGTGTATGTATGTGGTGAATATGTGGTCCAACAGCGGTCGCTACAGTAGAGTTTTGTGCCATTGTGGGACATGTTCAGGTCATTGCTTGGTATAGCATGAATGGACAGGTGGCCTCATTTAGAAACTGAAGCTGTTTAAATTTTGTGTTTGTTTTTTGCTTTTTTTTTTTTTGTCGATCAGGGCCTAATAATTATTTTAAGATTTCCCCTTCTCCCTCACAATGAAATTTAAAAAATACTGATCTTATTACTCAGAGAAAAAAATTAATCAGGAAGCAACCTGATTAATATTAACTGACTTGGTGTAGGATATGTATATTTGATTGCTACAGTCTGAATTATATTAATGATCACATGCATGCATTATTGGTTCTGTTCATCGCTAGAATGTTTATAAATGAATATTAATTGATTACTACAATACGTTGTACACGACCGCTTGTGCTGACCTGAGTTTTCTAATATTGTGTTTGGTTTTTTGTTCCAGGAATCAAACAGTTTTGTTCCAGTGCCTTCATAATCTCATCAGAGTTCTCCCTGTAAACTGTTTCTTCAAAAATCTAAAATTAGGAAGTGAAGATTTGCTAATTGATCATTTGGCATTAAGTTTGGAGCAGGAATTGGTTACCCTTGGTTCTCTTTCTTCTGCCTTCGTTAAAGTTGAAAACAACTTCGTGCAGAGGTGTGAAGCAAGCAAAGAAAAGAGTAGTGATGTTGTGGCTGCTTTATCAGACAGAAAGGAAATCATCCATACCTACAGAAAAGAACTTCAGAGAGAAAAGAAGGAAGCATTAGGGACGAACCTAAAAGTGAGTGGTGCCCTTTACAGAGAAATGACTTTGAAATTAGCTGAGGTTCAGCTGAAATCAGACCTTGCTGCACAGAAACTGAGTGGTTTATAATTACAATCTCATTTTGATTATATTTTAAAATATGTTTTCCCTGTCAGAACGTTTTGGTTCTGCTTGTTTTCATTTTACATTATATGCCTCCTTTGTAAAAATAAAGATTGAGTCTTGTTGTAGAATCTTTGGTTTTGATGATGCGCAAAATAGCATGCTTTAAGCACGCAGTTCTCAACTGGAGCCATTTTGCATCCCCCCCACCCCCGGGGCATTTGTCTATGTCTGGAAACATCTTTGATTGTCGGAAGTAGTGAAGGATGGGGAGAGTGAGGCAGGGGTGCTCTTCACATGTAATAGGTAGAAGACAGGGATGCTGCTAAACATCCTACTTTGCACAGGACAGCCACACAACAAAGGATGATCCAACCCAAAATGTCAGTAATGCCAAGGTTGAGAAATCCTGCCTTAGGGTTACCACTCAAGTGAAGACAGAAGTGATATAACAATATTTTGGTCTAAATCTTCAAAAAACTTAAATATAGTCCTTTTATTGTATTCTGCTTATTAAAACCTAGCATATAAAAATCAACTTCAAACGGATAAACAAGATTGTCAGGATTCACAAGTTTCTGTAAACATCAAGCTCCTGTGGAAATTTAAATGGTGGAGTGTCTGGGTGAGACCATGAAGATGAAAGTGTTTGAAACCCTTGTTAATTTAAATTTTATTAGAAAGCTTCTCTGAAATTGTATGGGAAATTTTAGGACATTTCTCAAAAGTATATCCCTTTCAAAACACTAAGCATACCCCACAGGCCGCTCTTTAAAACAAATTGAAAATGCCTTTAAGCCATCTGAAATTCCAACTCTAGGCAAAGCTAAAATATAAAATTCAAACTAAAATAACTTAAAGAATATGGTGCTCCTCAGGGACTGAGAAATTTATTTATTATTATTTTTTTTTGAGATATATATTTTATTTTATTTTTTTGTTTATTGCAGTAACATTGGTTTATAACATTGTATAAATTTCAGGTGTACATCATTATACTTCTATTTCTGCATAGATTACATCATG